GCCCAGGCCTCTGTCTCCTGCTCCTGGTTCAGATCTCATCTCCTCAGAGAGGCTCCCAGATTATCCTGCCCACAGGAACCACCCCACCCACCCCCAGAGGTCGGCTCCCTCCCTGCACTGTGCCTCTGGCCCCCCTGTCGTTAGCATAACCTTGGATGCAATGATTCTCTCTCCCTCTCTCTTTCCTCCCCCACCTGCGTCCCTCTCTTTTAGCCTATTTCTCCAGTTGGATTGTGAGCACAGCCGAAGGCTTCCCTGTGTTTACCTGAACTCCAGATGCACTCAGGCACTGGGCAGGCCCTTGCGGGGCTGTAGAGTGGATGCAAGAAGGCGCGATGGCCATGACTGAGAAAACACAGACATGGGTGTGAGCCACACGGAAGGTCTGAGCTGGGCTTGACTTCTTAGGAGGAACATCCCCCTCCTTCTGCTCCCACCTCGCCCACCCCAAAAAACACATGAAAACTTAATTTCCACATAAAAGACTGGCAGGGCATGAAAGCAGAAAAAGGTATACACTTTGGCACCTGGAAGTCACAGGTTAAAACTGTAGCTCCAGCCATTACGAGCTGTGCGGGGACAAAAATCACCATCTTGGAGCTTGATGGCTTGAAACGTGACCTGCCGTGAGGGCTGTTTCCTCCTTAGAGACGCCAGGGCTAGGGAGCTGTGAAACACAGGGAGCAGCCGTGCGGTGGCTCACGCCTGTAATCCCAGCACTTTGGGAAGTCGAGGCGGGTGGATCACGAGGTCAAGAGATAGAGACCATCCTGGTCAACATGGTGAGACCCCGTCTCTACTAAAAACACAAAAAATTAGCTGGGCATGGTGGCGCGTGCCTGTAATCCCAGCTACTCAGGAGGCTGAGGCAGGAGAATTGCCTGAACCCAGGAGGCGGAGGTTGCGGTGAGCCGAGATTGCGCCATTGCACTCCAGCCTGGGTAACAAGAGCGAAACTCCGTCTCAAAAAAAAAGAAAGACAGAAACGCAGGGAGCGAGTCAACCCAGCCAGAATCCGTTCCCTCTCCCCCTCTGAGGACTTGTTGACAGTAACTTGTTAGTATTGCAGGCAATGTCCCCTTTGGGTGAAGGATCCAAGGACACCAAACTTTGCCTGATTGACAGGGGAGGCAGCTGGGCTGCACCTGCTCCCTGAAAGAGTGAAGTCAGGCCAAGGCGTAGATGCATGGGCACAAATATTAGCTTTCAGATTTGCTGAGGACTATGTCCAGTCTCATCACAGCCGTCCACGTGGAAGTCTCTTTGAGGTCAAGAGAGCAAATTCAACAGTCAAACTTTAAACCATTCTGTGGGTGAAAGCTTTCTGAGGAATAGACAGATCTTACTCTGTAGTTTAATGTTTCCGGCCAATCTATGTAATCGTGTTAGAGCACATTCACCTCAAATATGCCCCACTTCAGCTGGCTACTTACTCCTTCTTTCATATCACATTAAGAAATGGTTGCAGAGAGGCCAGGCGTGGTGGCTCATGCCTGTAGTCTCAGCACTTTGAGAGGCCGAGATGGGCAGATCACCTGAGGTTGGGAGTTCGAGACCAGCCTGATCAACATGGAGAAACCCATTTCTACTAAAAATACAAAATTAGCCGGGCATGGTGACACATGTCCGTAATCCCAGCTACTCAGGAGGCTGAGACAGAAGAATTGCTTGAATCCAGGAGGTGGAGGTTGCAGTGAGCTGAGATTGCGCCATTGCACTAAGGCCTGGACCACAAGAGCGAGACTCTATTAAAAAAAAAAAAAAAAAAAAAAGAAGAAGGCCGGGCGTGGGGGCTCACGCCTATAATCCCAGCACTTTGGGAGTCCAAGGCGGGTGGATCACGAGGTCAAGAGATCGAGACCATCCTGGTCAACAAGGTGAAACCCCGTCTCTACTAAAAATACAAAAATTAGTTGGGCATGGTGGCACGCACCTGCAGTCCCAGCTACTCGGGAGGCTGAGGCAGGAGAATTGCTTGAACCCGGGAGGCGGAGGTTGCGGTGAGCCGAGATCGTGCCATTGCACTCCAGCCTGGGTAACAACAGCGAAATTCCATCTCAAAAAAAAAAAAAAAAAAAAAAAAGAAGAAGAAGAAAAGAAAGAAATGGGTCCAGAGAGGCCTGGACAACGCCCTTAAAACTCAGAGTTTTCCCCTCAAGTTCCAACCACTGGGATGGGACAGTCCCCTCTGGCTAGGGCTGGTCTGCGTCCTCCCTGCATGAGTGTCAGCTGAATTCTTCCTGGTGTTGACAGTGCTATGTTCCAAAGTAAAGTTTCATAAACACCGTGCTTTCCCTGTCCCAATACACAGGCTGTCTCTCTGAACCACATGGCAGCTGTCGGGGGATGGGGAGAGTGACGTAGACAATTTAAGGCTGTCTTTCCTACTCTTTCAGTCATATAAACCTAAAACTAGGCACTGTGAATACTCACCTGATTTTCAGTTCTTATAAAGGTGATTTTTTTGTGTAGACAGTTGTCAAATTCAGTGTTTCTGTGGGGAAGACAATCTGTGGAGACTTCTATTCAGCCATCTTGCCCCACCTCTTCCCCATGGACAGTTTTTTAAATAGTTCAGTATATGTGAGCGAATGTCATGAGTCACTATTGTTTGCTAAAACTATTGAAATAAATTTAATGATATTTGCCAGTGTTCATTGGTTGAGATGAGAAAGAGTTTTGCAAAGGTTTATTCTACTTTAACTCCAACTCAAGAATTTCTTAAAGGGAAAGGTGGTCGGGCACGGTGGCTCACACCTGTAATCCCAGCACTTTGGAAGGCCGAGGCAGGCAGATCACAAGGTCAGGAGTTCAAGACCAGCCTGGCCAATTTGGTGAAACCCCGTCTCTACTAAAAATACGAAAATTAGCTGGGCGTGGGGGTGTGTGCCTGTAGTCCCAACTACTCAGGAGGCTGAGGCAGGAGAATCCCTTGAACCTGGGAAGCGGAGGTTGCAGTGAGCGGAGATTGTGCCACTACACTCCAGCCTGGGGGAAAGAGTGAGACTCTGTCTCAAATAAATAAATAAATAAATAATAAAGGGAAAGGTTACCAAATACTCAAGAATCAAAACACACGGCAGTGATTCATTTTCTCAACAATGTCATACAGCAGATGGAAGAGCTGACTCTGAAGTCTAAAAGCTTCATATAAAAGTTTCTTTGTGACCCAGGTAGACAGGAATATTTATTGGCAATTAAACATTCTGGAATGTAAGTCAGTAATAATGATTTTATAGTTGTTTCTAACATGAATATACAGGCCGGGTACAGTGGTTCCCGCCAGTAATTCCAGCACTTTGGGAGGCCGAGGCAGGTGGATCACCTGAGGTCGGGAGTTCAAGACCAGCCTGGCCAATGTGGTGAAACCCTGTTTCTACTAAAAATACAAAATCAGCACAGCATAGGGGTGCATGCCCGTAATCCCAGCTACTCAGGAGGCTGAGGCAGGAGAATCACTTGAACCTGGGAGAAGGAGTTGCACTGAGCCGAGATCGCGCCATTGCACTCCAGCGTGGGCGACAACAGCAAAACTCCGTCTCAAACAACAACAACAAAAAAAACAATTACACCCCAAAATCGAAGACATGTTTTTCGATCTTTGCAGTAACTTTTTAATTCAATGTTATTACAACTCAATTGAAACAAGTGGGTGAACTGAGGTAACTCGAAGTGATGTTGTTTTGAAATGAATGTTTTTGCTTCAAAGTGAATCAGTTCTTACAAAGATGAACCCATTCTCTCAAGGTGAATGTAAACGTTAAGTCGTTTCTTCTACTTTAACACACTTATTGTGAATAGATAGCATATGTTGATTGTACAAATTTCAAAAAGAACAAAGGAAGACACAATAAAAAGTCAGTGTCTTCAACATCCTTAGAGGCAGCCACTACTAACATTTCTCCAGGATCTTTGCAAATGTGAATGTATGCATTTCCTTTGTCCCTATGCACAATGAGTAGCATACTTCATACACTATTCTGAACCTGGATCTTTTCTTGAAAATAAAAAAGATATTTCATGTCAGCACGTACAGAATTCCTTTATTCCTAACAGCTGTTTACTAACACCCTGAAGGGATGCACCATGATTGATTTAGCTCTCTCCCTGTGGATATGTAAACTCTATTTTTTTTTCTTTTTGTAAGAAGTGGAATTCAATTGTTTTGTGGGTATTTTTTGGATATGCAAGTTCTAATCTTTCCATACTAAAAATGCTGCACACATGAAATTGCACAAACTGGCTTGTCTATCCTAGGAACTCCCTAGATGGATGGGCTTGCGGGGTCAAAGGGGATGTCCGTTAACACTAATACACTGCGGATCAGCAACGTTGAGAACTCCTGTCCACCAGAGGCATTTCATTTTTTATTTTAGAGACAGGATCTTGCTCCGTTGCCCAGGCTGCAGTGCAATGGCACGATCTCGGTTTACTACAACCTCCTCCTCCTGGATTTAACGATTCTCGACCCTCAGCCTCCTGAGTAGCTGGGATTACAGGTGCGTGCCACCATGCCTGGCTAATTTCTGTATTTTTAGTAGGGATGGGGTTTCACTACCTTGGCCAGGCTGGTCTCAAACTCCTGACCTCAAGTGATCCACCTGCTTCAGCCTCCCAAAGTGCTGGGATTACAGGCGTCAGCCATCGCACCTGGCCACCAGAGTCATTTTAATTGACTGATCGTGTCAGAAACCAAACAACCTGGAAAAATGAGCAAAAGCCTCCAATGTGTTCCTCTCTCTGCCTTGGTGATCCGGAGGGCGTGCTGCAGTCTTATATACTCCTAGGCGAGAGTCGAGTGCTAACGGTTCCTTCTCTTTTCGGTGGACTTATAGAACCTTTATTTTCAACACCTAAGCAGTCACGCTTCCTCCAGCCTAAGGCTTTGTGCTATTTTTGAATGTTTTCCTCCTCCGACACTGCGGCTCCCTCCTGAGCCAGTAGCTGCAGCGCGTGGGTGATGGGCGCGGGCCCTGAGTGCCGCCAGCCACACTGGATGGAACGTTCCGGGGAAAGTGCTCGGGGGAAGCCAAGGGCCCCGCCTGCAATCGCTGGCCCGGGGCTCTGCGCACTCCAAGGGCCCAGCTCCCAGGCCGGGTCTGCCCACGTGGGCGCGGGAAGCGCGGGGTATGCGGGCCGCCTGGCCAAGCTGCACTTGCCAGGAACCGGCGCAGACACAGGCCCTTAGCGCCGCGGGAACCCGGCCAGGCCCACCGCGCGCTGCGCCACAGGGGCACAACCGCAGGGCGCCCCCCCGACCGCGCGACGCTCCGCAGGGGCGCCCACAGCCCTGCGGGTCACAGAGATGCTACCTCCAACCCAGGGGGGCCCGGAGCTGCGAGGGCCTAGCAAACGCCAGCAGTCCCCGCCGGGCTCTAGCCATTTTACGGCAGTGGGCCCCGCCCCCGCGCGCCACAGGGGCGGGAAGGAGGTGTGCGGCACAAGCCAGCCAATCCGCGCCACCATCTCCAGCCCTGCACCCTGTCATTGGCCGAGAACCGGACGGCGCGATGCGGCCGTAAGGCGTGGCTGAGTGTCGTGAGGCGGGCCAGCGGCTAGGGCGCCCTCGGCCGGCTTTGGTCGGAGTGTCCGGCTCCGGGAAGCGGCAGCAGCGGCACGGACGACTTGGGGTCTGGTGTCCCGCACAACCATGGCTGGCGCGCTGGTGAGGAAAGCGGCCGACTATGTCCGAAGCAAGGATTTCCGGGACTACCTCATGAGGTGACGAGCGCCGCAGGCCGGACCCCGCAACCCGGTGGGGCGCCCGGGAGGCTGTGACCCGTGCAGTCCGCGACAAGGGCGGCCGCGAGGACGCGGTGGCTCCAGGCAGCGGGTGGGCCCGGGCCCGGGCGAGAGGGTGCGCTTGTCAGGGGGCCCCCACCCAGATCCCTCCTGGACCCCCACGCCCCGAAGCGGACGGCGTAGACAGCCAGTGACAGTGGGCGCCCCTCGGGGCGGGGGTGACAGTGGGTGCCCTCCCCCGACAGGGTGACAGTGGGCATCCCTCAAGAAAGGGGTGACACTGGGTGCGCTCCCCCGACAGGGTGACAGTGGGCACCCCTCAAGAAAGGGGTGACAGTGGGTGCCCTTCAGGCAGGGGCTGACGGTGGGCGTCCCTCCTGGCCAGGGTGACAATGGAGATGCCTTTCCTGGAAGGGATAACAGTGGGCGCCCTTCCCAGCCAGAGTGGCAGTGGGGACGGCCCTCCTGGCAAGGGTGAGAGTGGGCGCCTCTCAGGGCAAGGTGACGATAGGGACGTCTCTCCCAGCAGAGGTGACAGTGGCCTGTTCCTCTCCCATGGTTGGGGGTGGGGACGTCCCTCCAGGCCAGGTGACAGTGGCTCGCTCCTTCGGGCGGGGGTGGTTTCCTGGTCGGTTCGTACCAGATCCCCGGAGTGGGTCGCGGGTCACCTGCTGGCGTCCAGGTGTGCGAGAGGCCTCGCCCTGGGCTTGGGGTTGGGAGACGCCAGCGGGAGGCGCTGCTAAGAGCGCGGCGCGGCGCTGTTGGAGCGGAGCTTTGGGAGCGCCCCGCGCGTCTGGGACAGTGGAAATAAAACGTGCTAGCCTTGAGTTCACCTTTTGGTTTTCTCATTTTAAGGACTTTAAGCTTGGGAGGAAGTACGATTTAAGATATTTTTATGTACGGAATTCCTTCAACCAAAGTAGTGATGTGTCTCCGAGGACGTGCTTTTTCTTAGTGTTCTATTAACTCCTCCTTTCTAGTTAGTTAGAAACAAAGAGCGTTCGGTTGAAAGGCCTAAAAAGAACACTTTCTTTTGTGTGTGTGTGTGTGTGTGTGTGCCTTTAGTTTAGTTTTCTATTTGAAAATACACTTTCTAGAATTTATTTGCACCTCTCATCTTGAGGCGCTTGCTTTTATTTCAAAATATCGAATATAACTTTGAAGCAGTTTTAGGTTATTTAGAAGGATAATTTCAGTTTTTCAGTGTGTGATTTTATAAACCTAGGTAAGTGTACAGCTGTGGTTTTTTCAGTAATTAATAGTGTGGTCAAGAGGTAAAGAGATGGCTGGATACAGCCATCCAAAGGTACGGTATGAAGGCAACTTGATTTTAGCAATAAAAAAGTTGTAAATCCTGAATTCTTTTGCTAATACTTTTTACTTCTACATTTATAGAGCAGTAGGTTAGGAAAAATAATTCAGTCTGCCATAGGGTAAACTTGTAAAGAGAAGATTCACTTATGACTTTCAAAAAAAGACATTTCTATGCTTAAATGGAACTATGATTATTTAAGATGGATATTTACTACTGTGAGCACAGCAATTTATCAGATTAGTGGTAGGAAAAATGTGAACGAAGTAGCAGTTTGAGGATATGTTCTTAATCCTTGCAGTTAAGTTTCTTTACAGCTTTGAATATTACTTTAGCTTTTCACTAATGTCTTATATAAAAGCCTTCCTAACTAAGGACAACATTGTATGGTAAGATTAAAAATATAGTTATGACATCAGCTATATAAAAATTATGCTGATGATTACCTAACAGTTTTTTCTTTTTCTTTTTTTGACACGGAGTTTTGCTCTTGTTGCCGAGGCTGGAGTGCAATGGTGCAGTCTTGGCTCACTGCAACCCCTGCCTCCTGGGTTCAAATGATTTTCCTACCTCAGCCTCCCAAGTAGCTGGGATTACAGGCATCCGCCACCATGTTGGGTACCAGCCCCAACCCTGAATGTGGGTGCCCTTAGTCTGGGCGGTGTCCAGGGATTGAGAAAAGGAAATAAACACAGAGACACAAGAGTAGAATTTACAGCATAGGTCCAGGGGTCCACCACTGTGGGAACTGAGTTGGCCCCAAGCTCTGGGCTCCAAACACCTTTATTATGTGCATAGTCTTATTGGGGATGTGGAAGGGGAGCGTGAAGGGGGTTGGTAAAAGGGTGGGTGGAGAGCACTTAACATGCTAAACTGTGCTCTAAGCATTTAACAGCACTTGAGGTCTTTCTAAGACGTGCTAAACTAGTACTCTGAGTTTATCACTGATTCTTATCAGGGTGCTGCTGCATCAGAAGTATAGCAGATGCGGAGCTAGGGGTCTGACCACACCCAGGGCATCCAGGAGCTTTTGTCTCCTGAGCCTGGAGGACATAGAGCAATTAAAATCACTCCATATTTTGAGAACCTAGGCAGAGCCTGAGGCATTTCCTGATCTCTGCCCTGCAAGGCTTTTCTCCCTGCCAGCTCTCATCTTCAAAGACCCATCAAGATCTTGTGAGCAGAGGTTGCCTACCTTCTCAGAGATATTTGCACAAGCCCTTTTTAGGAGACTCTCATGCAGTCTCCATGTTGAGAAGGCATTCCTGGGGCCAGAGCAGTATTCCCTGCTCTGCAGCCACCCTGTGGTGTTCCCCAGTGTTACTGCACTCTCAAAGGTGTTTACCTTAGGCCTCCTGTTGCCGCTTGATTTCTAATTAACTGTACCAGTAATATCATTTAGTTCAGTGTGTAAACTTCAGTGTACTCTGAGGCAAGCCAGCTTATAATTATTTAGATCAATCGAATTAACATAGGTCTCTCTCTGGCCATCCTGACCCACACCACCATGCCTGACTAATTTTGTATTTTTAGTAGAGATGGGATTTTTCCATGTTGGTCAAGCTGGTCTTGAACTCCCGACCTCAAGTGGTCCACCACCTCAGCCTCCCAAAGTGCTGGGATTATAGGCTTGAGCCACCACACCCAGCCCTAACAGTTTTATTACATAGGAAGAATTTGTTAAATATATTTTCAAGAAAGAATTTTGCTTTTCTAAGTATATTTTCCTCTACTAGATGGGTTTCCAAGAGTCAGGCTTTTCAATAGGATACTTCAATATATCATGTCACCTTTTTCTCTGAAATTAATTTTATGTAGCTTTAATTTGTTATACTTTCTCCAGTATTTAATTCAATCACACTTGACTAAATAAGGAAAAGAGGGAACTGCAGTACCCAGAAAGTGTTGCCGGGTAGAGCACCGAGTAAGATTCAGAAGAAGGACTCAGTCCAGGCTCCCGAGCGAGTGGATCCCAGCCAACTTTAGATGCCCATAAAAGAGGTTTAATGGTAATACCCTTTTTGGGTTATCAAGAAAATTAAATTGATAAGGGATGTGAAAATACTTTGAAACTCCAAATCACTCTACGTTTTATTATATCCTTTTGTTTTTGCAAGTGAAAGCATTTTTTAAGGTTTACAGTTGTGTTTGAGACGTGAGCGCGTGATGTGAAACATCAGCTGGCCTGTTTCCCTTTTGCCATTTCTGGCAGCAGTGGGATTCCATGCTAGGTCTGGCAGACAGTGACTGAGGGCCAGCTTGAGGTCAGGTATCAAAACTCTGACCAGAAGCTTTTTATTTTAGTGTTTCCTCTCCTAGAAAGGGAAACCTTTCTTCCTAGAATGTGTCAGAGGAAAGTACTTCTATTTGTTCTTCCAGGCTTTTTGCTTACAGCCCAGCTTTTCTTTAGCAAAAAATAGTAAAATAGAAAATAGAAAACTTAACATTATGACTCTCCTCTTCTAATCAGAAACCAGGTTCTGTACCTTCCTCTCTTTACTTCATCTATTTCCTGACGAACATAATTTGCATCTTCTGCATTCTTTTTGTAGCCTACTGAAGGGATCTAGGTTTTCTCAACTAAAGCTGTTCTAGAATTTTAAAAATTAATGATGTAATTGAGTTTTTCAGCAAAAATTTAAAATCGTATTTCACACAGGTTATACATGTATTTCAATCATGTTTTATGAATAAAGTTGAACATTCTTACTAAAGTGAATTTCCAAGGGTATGAATTTATTTAGAAACAGGGTATCACTCTGTCACCCAGGCTGAAATGCCATGGCATGGTCATAGCTTACTGTAACCTCTAACTCCTGGGTTTGAGTGATTCTGCTGCCTCAGCCTTCCAAGTGGCTAGAGCTACAGGTGTGCACAATCATACCTGGCTAGTTTTTGTTTTTTTTAAGAAATGGGATCTTGCTATGTTGCTCAGGCTGTTCTTGAACTCCCAGCCTCGAGCAGTCCTCCATCTTGGCCTCCCAAAGCTCTGGGATTATAGGCATGAACCACTAGGGCCAGCCCATCCAACTATATTTTAAATGTTGATATTTTTTCACCAAAAGAGGTTATGAAACAGGCTGTCACTTAGGAGACCTAAGAACCAAAGGCAATGTGTGGACTTTGATTGGGTCTGGTATGAAAAAACAGCTGTAAAAGGCATTACTGTGATAACAACACTTAAATAGGATCTCAGTATTAAATAACATTAAAGCATTACTGACAGTTATTAGTTGTGATGATAGTATTGTTAAATCTAGGTGATGAGTTTGAATGATGGGCTTGAGGCCCAGCTCTGTTGCTTTCCAGCTTTGTGAGCTTGGGCAAACTGTTGAGCTTTTGTGCTTTGGTAGCTGTTTAATGACATAGTATAGCGATTGACAAAAGTAAGTTTTCAGTTTATTTTTTATTATAACTAATATTGCATGTTTAACCCTCAGGATTTCTGGTACTTTCTTCTGTCTCTTCTTACTCACCTTGATTAGGATCTTGAATCAAGAACTTCCTGGGTCTCTATTCCAATTCCTTTTTCTTAAGAAACTATTCCCTCACGTCTCTTGACAGAATAAAAAAAAGCTCTTCTTTGCCTTTCCTCTTCCTCATCCTCCTCCTTGGATTTCTGGTTAATAAGAATAAATCTGAATGAGCAAAAATGTTTTTGAGGTAGGACATGTATTTTAATGATTAACTCAATCAAGGTCTGTGCAGCTTTACTCTAGAGACGTATTCCTCTTATTATCAAGTGTGTATATATTCCAGTAAAGGTGAGTGGATACACACACACGTATTTGTATATGTGTGCAGAGGTTGTTTTCTTAAGAACCTAGATTATATAGTGTTTTAAAATCAGTTAATCACATGGCATGCTTGTGAATCTGAATTTAGTGGGATGTTTGCTGAATATTCTCAAGTTAATGAGGTATTCTAAGTTAATTTTAACTTCTGAATCTCCAGGAAAGCTTTCAGAATTTATACTTATTGCCCAGGTGAGAAGATGCAGTAGCATAAGAGGGAATCTTTCCCAAACTTGTGGAGTGGAATATTAGAGTTAGAACGGGCCTTAGGGCCTTAGAAATCAGATAGTCCATGGCTCACGCCTGTAATCCCAGAATCTTGGGAGGCCGAGGTGGGTGGATCACCTGAGGTCGGGAGTTTGAGACCAGCCTGACCAACATGGAGAAACCATGTCTCTACTAAAAATATAAAATTAGCTGGGCTTGGTGGCGCATGCACCCCCAGCTACATGGTGGCCCAACTACTTGGGAGGCTGGGGCAGGAGAATCGCTTGAACCCTGGAGGTGGAGGTTGTGGTGAGCCAAGATTGTGCCATTGCACTCTAGCCTGGGCAACAAGAGCAAAGCTTCATCTAAAGAAAAAAAAAAAGGAAGAAAGAAATCAGATAGTCTAGTGCTTCACTTGCCACAAGAGAAGGCCGATATCTGGACGAAACAGATAACTTCAGAACCTCTGGATACCAAACTTGTGAAGCTAAAACAGAAATGTCAACTTGGGATTTAAAGGAAAATAGTAATGCATATGCGTGGTTTTGAAAAGAAGGTTTTAGATATTTTCGTGCTCCATGTTTTCCTGCATATGTCTCCCTTTTCTCTGCCAAACTGCTTTTCACACCCTGTCCCTGGACTCTTTGAGCACTTCCCTGCCATATCCTTGTCTTTCCGAAATTTAATGAAGCTGTAAATGTTGGAGCAGGACTGGCCATAACAGTCTCTTAGTATCTGGAAGGTCCAGTCCACAAAGCTCTAGACTGTCATTTGCTTACTTTCGGCTGACTAAATAGAGCTGAATATCACAAATTCTAATTGTTAAAAACCCCCCCCCATTTTAATTTGAACTAGAAAACTAGACAAAATTTGCTGAGAATAAATGAAATCCAGGTATGCATTTTCAGCAAACTGTAGAATTACTATCTGGAATATCTCAAGATTTTACCCCGGTTTACCTTGAATAATGTTAGAAATATACTGTGCTAGACTGTCAGTTGGACCCTTTAGTACTACATAAGTAAGTTATAAATTACCTAAGTTACTCTCAGTACTTTCAGAGAAAGCTAACATTACTGTAATTTTAGAGAAATTAGACGCTGACCTACAAGCAGTTCTTCTGCTCCTTCTGGTTCAGCCTGCCTGCCTCCACTTCTGCCTCCACCACGTCTGTCAGGGTCACCTAGCAGTCCTACAAGGTGTCCACTTCTGGCTCCTGGGCCTTCAGCAGCCGCTTCTATATGAGCAGGCCCAGTCTCCACATCAGCCCCTCGAGCATCTCCCGAGTGGGCAGCAGCATCTTCCAGGGTGGCCTGGGTACTGGCATGGGTCTGGGTGGAGGTTATGGTAGAGCCAGTGGTATGGGAGGCATCACAGCCGTCACAGTCAGAACCTGCTGAGCCACCTTAAGCTGGAAGTGGACCCAGCATCTAGGCTATGTGCACCCAGAATAAAGAGCAGATCAAGACCTTCAACAACAAGTTTTCCTCCTTCATCAACAAGGTGCAGTTCCTGGAGCAGCAGAACAAGATGCCGGGGACCAAGTGGAGCCTCCTGCAGCAGCAGAAGACAACTTAGAGCAAGATGGACTATATGTTCGAGAGTGACTTCAACAGCCTTCCGCTACAGCTGGACACTCCGGACCAGGAGAAGCTAAAGCTGGAGGCAGAGCTTGGCAACACACCGGGGCTGGTAGAGGACTTCAAGAACAAGTACAAGGATGAGGTCAGTAAGAATACAGAGATGGAGAATGAATTTGTCCTCATCATCAAGGATGTGGACGAAGCTTACATGAAGAAGGTAGAGCTGCAGTCTTGCCTGGAAGGGTTGACTGATGAGATCAGCTTTCTTAGGCAGCTTTGTGAAGGGATCTGGGAGCTGGAGTCTCAGATCTCAGACACATCTGTGGTGCTGTCCATGGACAACAGCTGCTCCCTGGACATGGTCAGCATGATTACTGAGGTCAAGGCCCAGTATGAGCAGATTGTCAACCACAGCCAGGCCAAGACTGATAGCATGTACCAGATCAAGTATGAGAAGCGGCAGACACTGGCCTGAAAGCACGGAGGTGACCTGCATTGCACAAAGCCTGAGACCTCCCAGATGAACCAGGACATCGGCTGGCTCCAGGCTGAGACTGAGGGCTTCCCTAGAGGCCACCACCACAGATGCCAGGCAGTACTGGGAGCTGGCCCTTAAGGATGCCAATGCCAAGCTGTCTGAGCTAGAGGCTGCCCTGCAGTGGACCAAGAAGGACATGGCGCAGCAGCTGCACGAGCACCAGGAGCCAGTGAACATCAAGCTGGCTCTGGACATCGAGACTGCCACCTATAGGAAGCTGCTGGAGGGCGAGGAGAGCTGACTGAAGTCTGGGATGCAGAGCATGAGCATCTGTATAAAGACCACCAGTGGCTATGCAGGTGGACTAAGCTCAGCCTGCAGGGACTTCACAAGCCCTGGCCTCAGCTATGGCCTGAGCTCGTTTTGGTTGTGGCAGGGGCTCCAGCTCCTCTGGGGCCATGGCTGTGAAGATGATCAAGACCTGTAATGGGAAGCTGGTGTCCGAGTCCTCTGATGTCCTGCACAAGTGAAGGGCCACGGCAGCCCCCTCCCAGCCTACCTACCCTGGGGCTTACCCAGAACCTGTTGGGGAGGCCCTGTGCAGAGGAGCACAGGGAACAGGAGACCTACGTGAATTAGTCCATTTTCACACTGCTGATAAAGACATAGCCAAGACTGGAAAGAGAAAGAGGTTTAAAGGTCTTACAGTTCCACACAGCTGGGGAGTCCTCACAATCATGGTAGAAGGCAAGGAGGAGCAAGTCACATCTTACATGGATGGCAGCAGGCAGAGTACGTTTGTACAGGGAAACTCCCCCTTTTAAAGCCATCAGATCTCCTAAGACTTACTCAGTATCATGAGAACAACAGGGAGAAAGACCTGCTCCCATAATTCAGTCACCTCCCACCAGGTCTCTCCCACAACGTGTGTGAATTCAAGATAAGATTTGGGTGGAGACACAGCCAAACCATATCACCACCTGAGGCTCAGCTCTAGCCCTTAGCCCACCTGTGGGGAGAGTTTACTGCCTGGGGTACCCCCCTCGCCCATGTCTCTAGCTACAAAACAATTCTATTGCTTTTTTCCAAAATAAAACCTCAACTAGCTCTGCCAACTTTGTGTGTATATATATATATATGTATATGTATAAATATGTTATATATCTATATATATATCTATAAATATGTGTTATAGACATTACATACATATGTAAGACTGAGACTGGCAGTGCCTAGAAGACATTCCAAAAATAAAATGAGCTTAGAAGAAGCTTTGAGCCAAGTAATCACTATTTCAAACTAAGGGGACAACAGTGATAAAGTTGATTCTGTGAGAGTCATCCTCCTTTATCACCGCACTTCATCAAACTTCTGAGGGAGTCATAATAGAAGCCCTGGGCTAGAGTGGCTGTGCTGTGTTTCCCGATGCAGACTTGGAACAGTGACAGTAGAAAACTCTTACCTCTCTGCAAGAAATAGAAATAAGCAAATACTGTTTATGCCAGTAGTGTCTCTCAATCTTGGAACTCTTCCTTCCTTTTTTCTATTTCTTGTTTTCCTGTCTGTAACTAATGTACTCTGTTTCAAACTGTGTATCTGAAAATACTAACTATTAAAGTACACACCATATGTAGAAAGATTGATTGCAAGTCTCAGATTCTGATTGTACATGCATATGGCATTTAAAAAAACACACACTAAAATTTTTTAAAAATAATTATAATATGCCAGGAAAGGAAGGAAAATGCAATCACACAAAACACTCATTTAAAACCATGAAAGGCTGAAAAAGAATAGAAGGCAAACAAAGAACAAGAACAGCAAATATGGTAAATATTAATGCAACTATATCATTGATCACTTGGGTTATCAGTAGACTAAATACCAATTAAAAGGCGCTGTCAGCTCGACTAGGTTCACAGACACCCAGATAGATGGTAAACCATTATTTCTGGGCATGTCTATGCAGGTGTTTTCTGGAAGAGATTGGCATTTGAATACATAGTCTGAGTAAAGAAGATGTGCCCTCACGCGTGTAAGTGGGCATCATCCAATCTGTTGAGGGCCCCAGCAGAACAGAAAGGTAGAGAAATGACAATTTGCTCTCTCTTCTGAAGCTCAGACATCCATTTTCTTCTTCAGAACTCTAGGTTCTCGGGCTTTTGGACTCTAGAATTTTCACCAGTGGCCCTTCAGGTTCTCAGGGCCTTTAGCCTTGGACTGAGTTACACCGTCAGCTCCCTGAGTTCTCAGGCCTTCGGACTCAGACTGAATTATAGCACTGGCTTCACTGATTCTCCAGCTTATTACTTCTATAACTGCCTAAGCCAATTTCCACTAAAAATCATATATATACACACACGTATGTATGTGTGTATGTATCTATATCCATCCATCTTCTATTGGTTCTGTCTCTCTGGAGGGCCCTACTACAGGTAACAATCTTTAAAGTCTATACACCATTAGAGCATTTAAACACATGAAGCAAAAACTGACAGAATTGCAAGAAAAAAATAGAAGAATCCACTAATATAATTGGAGATTTCACCCCTCCATCATAAATAGACCCAGCAGGCAGAAAATCAGTATGGGCATAATTTAACTCAGCAAAACAATAAATCAACTGGATATGGTGAACAGCAGTAGACTGCCACATGCAACAGCAGTAGAATACACCTTCTTCTCAAGCTCACGTGGAACACTCACCAAGATAAACTATATTCTGGACCAGTTTAAAAGACTAGAAATCATATGGTGTCTACTTTGGAATTAAACTAGAAGTTGGTAACAGAAAGATAGCTGGAAAATTCCTAGTACTTGGAGATTAAACAGCATTTCTAAGTAACTCTGGGTCAAAGAAGAAATCTCAAGATAAATTTTTTAATATTTTGAACTAAATAAAATGCAAACACAGCTTGTCAAAATGTGTGGGACGCAGTTAAAGAAGGTTATTTTTCAAAGATCAAAGGACATCTTGTTTGCTTCCAATTTTGGCAATTATGAATAAACCTCTATAAACATTCACGTACAGGTTTCTGTGGACCCAAGTGTTCAACTCCTATGGGTCAATACCAAAGGAATGTGTAAGAAACTGCAAAACTGTTTTTCCAAAGTGGCTGTATGACTCTGTCACCCGGGCAGGAGTGCAGTGGCATGATCTCAGCTCACTGCAACCTCTGCCTCCCAGGTTCAAGCAATTCTCCTGCCTTAGCCTCCTGAGTAGCTGGGATCATAGGTGCGTTCCACTGGGTCCTGCTAATTTTTATATTTTTAGTAGAGATGGGGGTTTCACCATGTTGACCAGGCTGATCTTGAACTCCTGACCTCAGGTGATCTACCCCAGTAGGCCTCCCAAAGTGCTGGGATTATAGGTATAAGCCACTGTGCCCAGCCAATTTTATTACTTTATTTCAATAACTCAGTAGCTCAACTGTGAGATTTTGCCCTAAGAGAAGAGCTCATGCATATCCTGGCAAGAGAAATTGCGATTTCAGAAATAAAAGTAACTCACTATAAATTTTTGGTGTTTTTTTAAGTTTAACCTTCTGGGAAAAAAGTTTTTTACTATTCATTCGTTCATTCATTCAACAATGAATTCTGTGGTTTCTTTTTACCTTTCTACTTTTTTTTTTTTTCCCAGACAGGGTCTTGCTCTATTGCCAAGCTAAAGTGCAGTGGTGTGATCACACCTCACTGCAGACTTGAACTCCTGGGAGGCACATACCACCCATGCCCAGCTAACTTTTTTAATATATTTGTGTATAGATGGGGTCTCACCATGTTGCCCAGACTGATAGTGAACTGCTGGCCTCAAACAATCCTCCTGCCTTAGCCTCCCAAAGTGCTGGGATTACAGGCATGAGCCAGCATGCCTGGCCTTCTTTTTACTGTTCTTAATGTGGCTTCTAGAAATTTTAAATTAAATACGTGGCTTGTATTTGTGCCTTGCATTGTATTTCTATTGGACAATTCTGCTCTAGGGATTGCACTTATTTTCCATAAATTAAGATAAAATTTCATTAAGTCAAAGTTCTTATTAGAAGTACTGTTACTTGATCTTTTAAAAATAAATAAATAAAAGATGCACACTGATAACATTATAGTCCTGTTACTGAAATTTGAATACAGGTGTGAGGTTGTAGTAACGTACTAAGACCAAAATCATCTGACCTTTTTTTTTTTTTCCATGTCTCTCCTGTCTGAACTTCGGTGACTCTTCACAAAATAGTACGGTAAGAAAATTATTTCCAGCCATTTGAGGCTTTTGCAGACTTTCTGCATTGACAACAGATTTAGTGTCTTTTGCTTGTGACAGTTGCTTGCCACAACTCCCACTGCTGGCAAGTTGTGAAGGGTGCCCACTGCACCCTAGCCTGTCCTAGAGAGCCCCACATGAGCTCCGTGAGAGCCTTGCTGCTGGGGCTGCTCCCTACTCCTGTCTTTAGAAACAACCATATAATTCCTTCATTGATAAGTCACTGGAGCCTGGCAACCAGTGAAAGGGAAGGAGACAAAGAAAAAGAGAAAGCAGGAAAAGAACTGTGGGATGACTTTTTCCAGTGCGGTGGAGTTCATTCCCATGGCTTGATTTCACACAGGAGATGGTGATGCACAGTTCTGTCTCAACATTCTTTTCAGCACCATTAAGCAGTATAATGAAGTAAAATTTTTCCATTTAATCCGATATGTTAATTTCTCTTTGAATATTAATAATGAGGTTCCTTATTTTTCTCAAAATTGCCAGCTGAAGGCCCGGTGCAGTGGCTCACGCCTGTAATCTTAGCACTTTTGGAGGTCGAGGCGGGTAGAACATGAGGTCAGGAGTTCCAAGACCAGCCTGGCCAAGACGGTGAAACCCCATCTCTACTAAAAATACAAAAATTAGCTGGGCGTGGTGGCACGCGGCTGTAGTCCCAGCTACTAATGAGGCTGAGTCAGGGGAATCGCTTGAAACTGGGAGGCAAAGTTTGCAGCGAGCCGAGATCGAGCCACTGCACTCCAGCCTGGGGGACAGAGCGAGACTGTCTCAAAAAAAAAAAAAAAAAATTTGACTGCTGAATATCTGACACAGCATAAATCAAATGTATTCTAACAAAAGGGAAGAGAGAAGTAAACTTGTACTAGATAGAAAAGATGCATTATAAATTTTGCAAGGTTAGGTGGTGTTGAAATGATTTTTACCTTTTGTGTTCTTAAGAAATATATCTTCAGTGTAGCTCAACACTTACAGTCACAATTATATGTATAGTTCTTAACTTTCAGAACTCTGTTTCATATTAGCTAACACCACACCTAACTTTTAATACCACCACCTGGCCAGGAATCTCTGGGGGCTACTTTAGGGTTAGATTTATTCCATTGTCAGAACAAAAGTTCGGGATGCGGGTTAAAAAAAAAAGATTTATTTCATTGTCCATTTCTACTTTAGCCCCACCTATGAAAGAAGACACATATTCACACCCGGTGGTAGAGAAAGTGGTTTATATGCCCCTCTTAGAACAACTCTTCAGGCTCTGTTCCAGCCCTGGGTTCATGCATGATGAAGTAGACAGCAAGACCGCCACACAGTGCAGAGGAGTGGAAAGAGACTAAACAGAAAAGGAGATGAAAATAGACCAAGTGGAGAAAGGCCTGGTCAAAAGAGGAAGGTCAGTATGGAACAACAGAGAGCTGAAAACCAAAGGGACACCCAGTAAAGGACAGGCAGGAAACAAGCAGGTGAGGGAGAGAGAGATACTCTCCCCTAGAAAGGTATGGGGAAGAAGGGAAAAGCAAGCTGGCTGCCGCTTACCTAAATGTGAGAAATTGAAGGTCCTTGTTAACAGGATTCTCCGTAGCAGAGCGCTTCTCTTCTCCAACTGGTAACTGTTTTTGAGATGGAGTCTCGCTCTGCTCTGTTGCCCAGGCTAGAGTGCTGTGGAACAATCTCGGCTCACTGCAACTTCCACCTCCCAGGTTCAAGCAACTCTCTGCCTCAGTCTCCCGAGTAGCTGGGATTACAGGTGCCCTGCCACCATGCCCAGCTAATTTTTGGATTTTTAGTAGAGACAGAGTTTTCACCATGTTGGCCAGACTAGTCTTGAACTCCTGACCTCAAGATCCACCTGCCTCAGCCTCCCAAAATGCTGGGATTGCAGGTATGATACACCGCACCCAGCCCAACTTGCCACTTTTTTTTTTTTTGAGACGGAGTTTCACTCTTGTTACCCAGGCTGGAGTGCAATGGCGCGATCTCGGCTCACTGCAACCTCTGCCTCCTGGGTTCAGGCAATTCTCCTGCCTCAGCCTCCTGAGTAGCTGGGATTACAGGCACGCGCCACCATGCCCAGCTAATTTTTTGTATTTTTAGTAGAGACGGGGTTTTACCATGTTGACCAGGATGGTCTCGATCTCTTGACCTCGTGATCCACCCGCCTTGGCGCCGTGCTGTTCAGTTTGAGAGCCACTAGCCACCTCGTCTAAATGTAAAAAATTAAATGAAATTTGCAGCAGTGTCTTAGGTAATATCCAGTCTGAATACAAGAAGACTAATTAGTCAGCCCACAATCTCAAGATTCTTTAACCCAGCTGTGTCTAATTTACAGAGTTTACAACTCACATGTTAAACCGTGAATTACTTACCATCATGGCTATATGGGAACTTTGACCTTTTATAGTTATTTAAATGACCTTGTGGCTTACATGTAAGCATTTTAAAATATTCTATCACGCCAAAGCTAACTCCCATTTATTTTTCTTGCATTTCCCTTGGTTTACCACTTTTTAGGGAATTTTTGGATTTTAACCCCTTGTTAATAATAGAAGCAAACTCTAGAAATGTATTTAGCAGTCTGAATTTAACCTAAACATGATAGGCAGAGTCAAGCAAAGACTGCTTTTACTCTTGAGTGTCTAGATAACTAAAAGGGGTGTTTAGCCAACAGTATGTGGTTTCTGTCAGATTTTAAAGTATTATTTGCAAATTCTAAATTAATGAAACAATTTTTAATTTAATGAACAAAAGGCACAAGCCTTATTTTATTTCCGCCTCTGACATTAAATTGATCGTGGCTGCTGTCAAACACAACTTCACTCTGGTATCCTCGGATGAGTAGTTGTAGAATAAAAAACGATTGGGTCATTTCTTTAATATTAATATAAGTTTTTACTATTATGTCGAAAGTACTTTCAATCTTCATTTCTTAGTGTCTGGGTCCTGGGTGTAGATTTCTAAGTTCTTTGATCTTAGGATTGCTCAAATGAGCTGAAAAACAGTTTGTTCTCTCGTTAAGTTCCTTTCTTCAGAAAAAGTATCCAATTTAGGGTCTGCATTTTAAGAACTATTGACAAATAATGAAAAATTGGGAAAAGAAGTTGGAGAATAGATCTAACATGGTTTGAATTATAACAAGAATGAACTGTGTAAGAAGATAGTCTTATTTTTAAATTCTCTGAATGAGACAATCAGAGATGACTTGGTTGTAGTGTGAAAATGAGTAGGGACCTTAAAGCTGCCAAAGTTCCGGGCTCACCTGTAAGAACTGCTGATTCCTACAGGAACACTTGGACATTCCAATGCCTAAATGTTAACCATCAATTAACCCAGTAGACCTGCAAGATGGAAATGAAGATTTGTTTTAATGTGTTTCACCTGATTCTTTAAAGCACGGGACATTTCAGCTATTTATAGTGCTGTCTTAAATTTTTCCTCTCCCTTCTTTTCCTCTCATTTTTTGTAGCACTTCTGGGGCCCAGTAGCCAACTGGGGTCTTCCCATTGCTGCCATCAATGACATGAAAAAGTCTCCAGAGATTATCAGCGGGCGGATGACATTTGGTACGGATGCAGATTTGGATAATTGGGGGGGCATTAAATACAGTAGCGCTCCTGCCTGCATTTCAGGATTGTAGCACCACATGTTACAGTCACTATTAGGAAGTCACATACGGAATGTGGTGGCGTGGAAGAGTGTTTAGAAATGCTTGTCTGGGAAGTAGTAACATCTTTTGCCTTTCATATTTAGCATACCCAGTTGAAGAGTGTGTCATCTTCATCATTCTAATAGCATATCATTAACCTTACTTGATATAAACTTACTTCCTGATATTTGAACATAAAACTATGTGGAGGGAATAAATAGTAATCCTTTCAGGTAATGAATGGATTTTAAGCAACTCCAGGAGACAAAAAAAGGTGGCTGGAATGAATTTCAGCCTACTCTTGCTCTGAAATACGTTCCTTAAATGTTTAGATCATGATCACAAAAACGCATAGCAGTACAGTAAAAATTTTTGAGCTTCCATTTAAATAATAACTTTTGTTACGTGTGAGAGGCTTTAGCAGAAGAGGTTGTTTTTGTATCAGGGCAGTGGAACTGTCCACCCCTGTGGTGCTGCCGACCCTCTCGCTTTCTAAGTCACCGATTCTGTTTGCTATGATGTTCTTGGCAGCCCTCTGTTGCTACTCTTTGACGTTCATGAGATTTGCCTACAAGGTGCAGCCTCGGAACTGGCTCCTGTTTGCATGCCACGCGACAAATGAAGTAGCCCAGCTCATCCAGGGAGGGCGGCTCATCAAATATGAGTAAGCAGACTTTCAATTATTTTCTTCTGAGGAATTGGGGAGAATGAAACATCTGGTCTGAGGGGGTACTGGAGGACTGGAGTGTGTATAGATGTGCTTTAGCAGTTGGGAAGCCACTTACTAAAACATGAAAGTTAACACGAAGTAGGGTACAGGCTGAGCATCCCAAATCTAAAAATCTGAGACGTTTAGAGTGCCAACATGACACTCAAAAGAAGTGCTCACTGGAGCATTTCGGACTTTGGATTTTCAGATTAGGGATGCTCAACTGGTATGATGCACTTATTCCAAAATCTGAAACATGCCTGGGCCTAAGCATTTCGGATAAGGGATACCCAACCTGTATTACTGGTTTTGTAAGTTGAAATAAATGTTATGCAAAGGTGTCTTTTTAAAGCCATCCAAAGCCCTTGAGACTAGCGTTGAAATTTTGTTTCTCATTGAATTTTCCCTTCTGTTTTTTTCCAGGATGAGTAAAAAGGCATCTGCATAACAATGGAAAATGAAGAGCAAGCTCTTGAAGGGACAGCATTGCCAACTGCTGCTGAGTCACAGATTTCATTATAAATAGCCTCACTAAGGAAAATATGCTGAATGCTATTTTTACTAGCCATTCTATTTTTATAGAAAAAGCTGAGAGTCTCTTAACCAACTCTCTGCTGCCTTACAAGTACTAAATATTTTACTTCTTTCCATAAAGAGTAGCTCAAAATATGCAATTTAATAATTTCTGGTTTTATCTGCAGTAACATGTATATTATCTATTAGAATTTACTTAATGAAAAACTGAAGAGAACAAAATTTATAACTACTAGTACTTAAGTACTCCTACTTCTTACATCGTCTTTAATGACCACAAGACAACCAACAGCTGGCCACATACCTAAACTCTTGTCCCCACCGTTTAAAAATGTTATCTGTGTATTTCCATGCAGTGTGTATATTGAGATGCTGTAACTTAATGGCAATAAAAGATTTAAATATTTGTTAAATGAGCATGATTAAATATCTTGCTGCGTTCCCTAGGAAACTGAAGAACAATGTATCTGAAAAGACAATTATAGGTGAAAATGGAACTCCTTGAAAACTTCGAAGATGGCTGGAGGAAATGCAGAGCTGGAAGGCCAGTGTTTTCTGGAAAGCATCGACAGTCCAGCTATGCAGAACCTATTCTTACGGGCAAGTGCTACTAATAGAAACGCCCCTCAGTCACTGAGACTCAGGCCAGTCACGTGAGTGTTCTGGGCTTCTCTTCCCCGTCTGTACAATATTGCAGAGGCGATTTCTGTGGTGATCTAAGAATGGTGCTGCTTTCCACAGAAAGCTGTCAAGATTGCAGTCCCACAGGAACGGGCTGATCGTGGGGAGCAGCGCTGCACTGGTGCTCGGTTGGAGGAACCAGCTTCCACGGGAGGGAGGAAGCTGTTAACTAGGAGCTGCTCCAGAGAGGTCAGACCAAATGACAAAGCATCCTCAGCGCAGTCCTGACTTCTTATCTCACATTATGCAGTTAAGTTAGTGTTTTAAAAAAATGCAGCCAAGTGCAGTGGCTCACACCTCTAATTGTAGCACTTTGGGAGGCCAAGGCAGGCGGATCACTTGAATTCAGGAGTTCAAGACCAGCCTGGCCAACATGGTGAAGCCCCATCTCTACTAAAAGTGCAAAAATTAGCCGGGTGTGGTGGCAGGTGCCTGTAATCCCAGCTCCTCAGGAGGCTGAGGCAGGAGAATGGCTTGAACCCAAGAGGTGGAGGTTGCAGTGAGCCGAGATTGCACCATTGCACTCCAGCCTGAGGGACAAGAGCAAGACTTGTCTAAAAAAAAGGCAACTAGGCCGGGCGTGGTGGCTCAAGCCTGTAATCCCAGCACTTTGGGAGGCCGAGGCGGGTGGATCACGAGGTCAACAGATCGAGACCATCCTGGTCAACATGGTGAAACCCCGTCTCTACTAAAAATACAAAAAATTAGCTGGGCATGGTGGCGCATGCCTGTAATCCCAGCTCCTCAGGAGGCTGAGGCAGGAGAATTGCCTGAACCCAGGGGGCGGAGGTTACAGTGAGCCGAGATTGCGCCATTGCACTCCAGCCTGGGTAACAAGAGTGAAACTCCATCTCAAAAAAAAAAAAAAAAAGGCGACTCGAATCTGAATACAGTTTCCTTCTCTGTATGGTAGCAGATGAGAGCAGCAGAGCAGCCACGCTGAGCAGAGGGGAGGTCAGTGGGGCACAGTCTCTCAGGAGTCTACATTCTGTCACTTTTGGGTTTTTTTTGTTTTTGTTTTTTTGAGACAGGGTTTAGCTCTGTGACCCAGGCTGGAGTGCAGTGGCACAATCACAGTTCACTGCAACCTCCACCTCCTGGGTTCAAGTGACTTTCCTGCCTCAGCCTCCCGAGTAGCTGGGACTACAGGTGTGCGCCACCACATCCGGCTAATTTTTGTATGTTTTTTAGACGGAGCCTTGCTCTTGCCAGGCTGGAGTGCAGTGGCTGGATCTCAGCTCACTACAACCCCTGCCTCATGGGCTCAGGGGATTCCCCTGCCTCAGCCTCCCTAGTAGCTGGGACTACAGGCCTGTGTCACCACACCTGGCCAATTGTTTTGTATTTTAATAGAGACAGGGTTTCACCATGTTGGCCAGGATGGTCTCAATCTCCTGACCTTGTGATCCACCTGCTTCGGCCTCCCAAAGTGGATTATGGGCGTGAGTCACCGTGCCTGGCAGTTTTTGTGTTTTTAGAGATGGGGTTTTGCCGTGTTGGCCAGGATGGTCCTAAACTCCTTGCCTCAAGTGGCCTGCCTGCCTTGGCCTCTCAAAGTGCTGGGATTACAGGTGTGAGCCACTGCACCTGGCCTCATATTCTGTCACGTTTATTTTCTTTTTAAGGTGCTATACAGTTCACAAAGCATTGCCATATGTCTTCTCTTTTGGGTCTCAGACAGCACTGTGGAGCAAGCTGGGCATTGATATAGAGGAGGGAACAGGTTGGGAAGCTGTGAAAGACGTGTATTTGGCAGGGCCAGGGCAAACACCAGTCTGGGGACTCTGCTCCTGCTACACTGCAGCTGGGACCAGGGAAGGGCAGACTGCAGGAACCCTGCCACGCCACAACTCTCCAGGCTCAGCTTCCACAGTTACCTCAGTTACAGCTGAGTGTGGTGAAAAAAAACTGGCACAAAGAGCCACAGATTGGTTAAGTTAAAACCACCTGTTCTATTTTATTATACATCGCGAGAAATTCTAACTCAACAGAGACACAGCATAGAGTGCAGCAGCTGAAGCCCCCATAGGTCTCCTCCACCCTGGGGCTAGCCCTGTAGAGTCAGTCACCATCAAGGCTTTTTGGTTTGGGATCTTTCTCTTTCATCACCTTGGAAAAACTCCCAACCTGCTAGCCATTAGTGCCGAGTAAGGAGAAGGGGGTTTTCCACACCTCCATTTCAGAGATTTGCCAGCTCCCTGAAGGCATGGCCTTGCAGGTCAGCCGAGGTGGAAGCCTGCAGAGTACCAGGGTCCAGGAGCAGATACTGCAGGGGATTTGAGCAGGAATAGCCCTCATAAAAACCAAGGCAACTTTGTTTTTTTGTTGTTGTTGTTTTGACAGAGTCTCACTCTGTCACCCAGGCTGGAGTACAGAGACACCATCTCGGCTCACCGCAACCTCCGCCACCTGGGTTCAAGCTATTCTCCTTCCTCAGCCTCCCAAGTAGCTAGGACTACAGATGTGTGCCACCATGCCTGGCTAATTTTTGTTAATTTTTACTAGAAATGGGGTTTCATCATATAGGATAGGCTGGTCTCAAACTCCTGACCTTGTGATCTGCCCACTTCAGGCCTCCCAAAATGCTGGGATTACATGCGTGAGCCACCGTATCCAGCCGGCAATGGTTTGACTCAGTGGACTTTTCTGGTACTACTGTGGAGAGAGTATGCAAAGACAGAGTCCAGTAAGGTCACTGCTGCTGGCCAAAACTGCATCCAAGTCGAGGGAATCCTGTGAGAGCACGTGCAGTCAAAGCAGGCGCGGATGCAGGAGTGGCGCGGAATCTGCTCCCTCAGAGGGACCTGAGGGAGCCACAGCTACTGGCAGGAGTGACAAGGGACACACCAGGGGGAGGACTGACAGGCACCTGGCCCGCTTAGAGGTCACAGGAAGCTTT